TAGACATTACTAGTTACCTTAAAATTAAAAGTACATTCCAGTCCCGAGTTTCCAAATAAAACTCACTCGTTGCACCCATTACACCTAACAAACTGCGAACGCTTAACTCCTACACTGGTCTTAACCATTGTATTTAAACTAATACTGTTATAGCTTGAAAATAAATAATACCAAATACCTGTAGCCTATTGTTAACACCGTTACTGTTAAGCCTAAATTTTGAGAACCAATTATATAATTTTTCTTATCACTACTTTTTCTTCAAACTAAACTAATATATTAGAACAATATGCTAATAATACGTATTTATTTGTCTTTTCTCTTGCGCCCATATAACAGAAGATTTAAACCTTACCAAATTTTATTTTTAAAAGTAAAGAAGTTTTTATTTGATGGAATGAATGAATGCTTATATTTCAGTGCGACCATTTGCTTGTTGAAAAGTCTTCTACAAAATTAAAATGTCGATCATTTGGTTAGATTACATTAAAAGTAATTTGAGAAATCCATGTACCTTACTTTAGTATTTCCTGTTCTATTGGAATATTCTATGATTTTCAGCCTCTTTGGAGCATGCATGAATATTTAGTATTCATATTAATAAAGATTAAGGTTAATACAAAACTTATTATTTTGACAACTATTAGTATTACAATATTGTACGCAAAAATTCTTATCTAGTTCTACTTCAGTTCTAGGTCTCACACCAACCAGTATCAACATAATACTCAGTAAACCTTTACTTTAGTATAGTTTAAATGTTGATACTATAGTGACAGTATTATGATACTATGAATATAACTTTGGGCTAGATATGGAACCGAAACTCTCTCTTACAGTTCATCAATATATCCATTTTTACACAAAAAAGCTAACGTACAACTTAAATAACACGTTTGTCACGTTTCGTTTTCGCCAGACTAATGACAGTACTAATGTAACTTCTAATTAAGATGGCCATTAAATTAATGGACAGTGAATTCTATCCCTATACTACAACTTGTGTATCTAGTTTTTCTTTCGTTAATAAGTTTAAATATTTCGTGTAAACTATATTTTTCCCAATATAAATTATCTAATAATAATAATAGTAACACAATTATGTTTAGTTTTTCCCACTGTGCTACCAGTACCACATCCCATCCAAGTCTTTTGCCTCCCCTTAGCAGCAATACACATTCGTATGACGTAAGAAAAATAATCGTCCAAATTCTATCCTTATCACTTCTGGCTATGTAGTTTTGAAACAAGTGTTTGTGAGAGAACATTTATAGATCTATTTCTGTACAACTTTTTA